GCGTTCTTTGAAAATTCATAACAGAAAAATTAAGAAAGAAAAAAAATGTTTAAAATATGCTAAAAAAATGTGCATCTGTGAAACAATCAGATTATAAAATGTCCTTATGGTGATGTTTTCATACTAAATTAAAAATATTAATCTATATGTAAATATATACTGATGAATATTAACCATATGAAAAATGGATTTTTATTAAAAATATAATGAGTTAAATCTGCCACAGGCTAGAACCGTCAATTACATATTCATTAGAAATTCATGTACTGTTCTTTATATTATTATTTTAAACCATGTGACACCTGGGTATTGTACAGCAAATAACAAAGAATTATTAGTGATAATATGCTAGCTGAAAGCATGTTTATTTCAGGTCACAGCGCTCCTGAACACTGTGTTAAAACAAATGTATCCTCGTAATAAGCTTATTATTATACATCTTTTCCTTCCAAGTATACATCATGGGAATGCCAAAATCCAACAAGTTTAGAACAGAATCAGCGAACTTCTTTGTATGGAGTCCAGTCAAACCCTGATGGCAGCCATGTTTGTTTTTATTATTAGAGGATGCTTACATGCGTAATCATTCCATAATTGGAATTCGCATTTCCTTATATGGTCAAACGTAAAATACTGCAAAATTACGCCACACTGTAACTTATGGCATTACAGTGACAAATGTTAAATAATTAAAATTATAAAACTATTAAATTCAAATTATTTGGTTTTATTGCAGGAAGTGAAGGGCGGTAAATCATTTGTCAAGTTAGGGTTTGTTGATTTAAACCTTGCTGAGTACGCAGGAGCCAGTAATAAATCCAGAAGATATTTACTGGAAGGATATGATTCTAAACAGAGACAAGATAATAGTATCCTCAAGGTAAGAAAAATTACTTCACATAAATTTGTTTGGGATGAAAACAATAGGAACCTAATAACTGTCCTGAGAGGGCGCTGTATTGTTTTGATTTCTTTTCTTTTTTTTCAACATTATTATGATACATTTTATTTTTCTCCCCAAATATTGTGAACTGCTGCTGGCTGTTTATTTTTCAATCTCTGTCTCAGATATCTGGACTTTTTACCTGGAAAACTAAAAAAAACACATTTTTTAGCTTGTATGTACTCAATGTTCGTTTTTGTTTTCTATTATTAACTTCAGGTTACTATAGGGATGACTCTTCTGTCTGGTGATCCTTGTTTTAAAGCGTAAGTAACCATTATTGCTTGTTATGAAAGTGACAGTTGTAAGATATTAGAGCCTCTGTTATCCTTATTGTCGATATTTAAATAGTTGTTACATAGTTTATGTTGTGAATTTTACATAAAAAAAGTTTTTTTTGCATGCATTTTGTGGGATCCAGGATCTCTCAATGATATATTTTGATAACTGAAGCACTTTAGTAAAATGAAAAAGCTTTTTATTGTACAGTGTACAATACAATACACTTACATGTGGAGAGGTAAAAAAAAAAAAAAGTAATACCGGCATGGTACAACAGTAAACAGGCTGATAAATATAAAGAAGATTACACGGCATTATGTGAAAACTTTTGAACTATCACATGTCCAAGGTGTATATTGTTATTCACACTAGTATCATATGCATGATAGATAGTCAGTCTTTATGTGCTTGAAGGGTATGCAACGAAAACAATGACAGTATTGTATTATTGCACTACGTTGTGAGAATTTCTGACTGTATACCAACAATTACTTGGATGGTGCAGTGGCAATAACTCATATTAACAAATATCGTGAAGAAGGGTGGCATTTCTGCCAATTTTGAAAACCATTGGTGGCCGTAACTTCAAAACCGCATCCATCAACGTGATGTATGTCGCGCATAATAAGCACAAATTAGCATATGATTCTTTACCATAGTTCTGTAAAATCACAACTTCTCTGTCATTTAAACTCTTCGAGTTGTATTTATAGAGGTTATTGATACTCATGGAGTCATGGGCAGTATTATCCACTCATTTTTAGTTTGTGGATAATACTAGCCAATGATGTCACTTGTATCAACAATTGATATCAGGTGATAACTTCATATTATCAATAATTATATGGTACGATTGTTACTATGTTATTTTTTCTTCGTAAATTTCAGTCCCGATGTGAAAGAATTATTTCTTCCTGGTGAGCTCCCACAGGACGAAAGAATGTATGTGAGCGGAACTTACAAATCAGAAGACTTTAAGAGTGGTGGTGGCAGTATTGCGTCGTTTGGTAGCTCGGCTTCCAAACCAAAGACGAGACCCTGTGTCACCTCATCCAGTAAGTCCAGATTTGCGAAAAGTCACTATGAGTCCCTAGAACCCAACAGAAAGTCACTATGAGTCCCTAGGACCCCACTGAAAGTCACTATGAGAACCATAGGACCCCACTGAAAGTCACTATGAGTTCTTAGGATCCCACTGAAAGTCACTATGAGTCCCTAGGCCCCCACTGAAAGTC